ACACCGTTGATATGGATGAAACAAAAATACAAACAGCTGCCAGGGATAACTCACTTTCTTAGGAAATAGCACTCTCAAATCATCTCACCTCCTAAACCAGAAAACAGACAGTAGGAACAACAGGAGTCATAGGAAAAATGACAAGTTCAAATTTTGGATATGTGAAAATGTGGGATACCAAGTGGAGATATCCAAAAGGCAGCTGGATATGTGGGACTGGAACCAAGAAAAGCAGTCTGGCTACAGAAATAGACCAGCATTAGGTACATTAATACTTCTGAGAAAGGCTTTGCAAGTCTTCAGCAAAATAAAATCCTCTTAAGAGATGATGATTATTACCCTATACAAGCTCTACCTAGTGCCTAATTAAACAAGAAGTTCTTGATGAATTCAAACTGCGGCAGGGTAATGCACTCGTGCTCAATTTTTACCTTCATATGGACAAACTTACCATATGTTAAATTCTTAAGAGTAAACTCTCAAGAATCTTTCTAATTAATATACTGCAATGATTCTCCCATTTGGTATATGCTCCCTCTTTTGATTTTCTGTTCCCAAGTCCACTGTCCCACATTTTACCTGTTCTGAATTGATAGTTGTTCTCTACTGCTGCAGATACATAATAGTAAAAGCAGGTTCAATTCTCAACATTAAGAATTACATGCAAGTGAGTTTTTCAACATTATCATTAAAAAAAATTCTGGCTTAGATTACGTTTTTCTTCAACAGAAACCCTCTAACAGTTTAAATATACCTCAGTTCAAGAGTATATTTTCCCGAATGTCTGTTTTTGAGAAAATGTACTTAAACATAATTTCCCAAGAAATTAGAAGACATTTCTACATATACATAAGTTCACTTGTTAAAAGCCTATTCAACATGTTTTATAAAGAGTTATATTTAACATAAAAATATCAGTGAAGAAATAATTTTCCTAACTTAAGACATATAATCTGGTTAACAATATAAAGTAAAATAAATCTGAATAACTATTAAATAGGAATACTTTGCACATATTACGTTTAAACTGGTTTCCTTGTGTAAAATCTACAGTGCACTTTTTAATTTTTTAAACTAGCTTAAAAACATTTTAATAAATGAGAGTAAGTTGAGAATTTGTTTTAAAACAGTCATATCAAATATCAATCAACTCACAGAATTTTCACTCGGCTCACCTCCATAGTTATATATACAAAATGGCAGCATACATTCAATAAGGACAGGTATAAATAAAGGATGGTTAATATTTCCCTTTTAGAAGTGATAAATATTAAAGAGAGAACACAAATACAGACTTGCCCCAAAAAGGAAGATTAAGTTTAGCTTTTTTCTAACCACAAACTAAATATTCACTAATAAGATTCTTAGGACTCACCTTTGTTTATATAACCTTTACTAAAAATAAAAAGATATAATTAAATAAAAATATCAGTAAATGTGATTTTTGTTAAAGTAAATTACTATGACCTCCTCGCAACTTCCCCATCCCATCCTTTCCCCACATCAAGAAAATGCAAATGATGCCTAATTTCAATGTGTTTTCCAAAAACTCTTATCACTTAAAATTACAACACAGCCAGACAAAGAAGAGAAGAAAAAGTAGTGAAGTGTGTTTTAAAATGGTACTTTCTTACCAATATGTTGCTGTAGAGCCCAAGAGGAGTTTGAGGCACGAGCAGACAGCATCTTTTCAACAGCTGGAGGAAGTCTCCTCCAATTAGTAAACTCCAAAGTGAAGATAAGGGTATCATCGTTGACTGAGTCAATCCTGTATTAGTAAGATGTTAACACACCATTAAACAAAAAATACACCAAGGATTCATTCTGAAAACAAACATCACATACCTATTCTTACAACATCTTAATATGGAAGGCAGCCAAAAAATATTCATGTAACTGGAGGCAAGTTCAATGGATATAAATAATCATCTACAGGTTCCTACAGGAAACTAAACTGACTCTGTGTGTGTTTGTCCAATAGATGACAAAAGGAACCCCCAATCTTGTATAGGGTGGGAATATGCCATCCCATTTCCCAACAGTAGTTGTAAGAAAAGACAGCAACAACACCAGTGTCATCAGTGGATTTGCAGTCATCTACTCCCAAATGGACCATCTTACCACATCTAGACTGGTCAACCTTACAGACAAATAATTCAACAGTCCTGAAAGGATAAAGTCCGAATACCCAAAGTTATCCCTAAACTGAGTGTATGAGAAAGATGGCTTATTTCTACCCAGCTCCCAGGCATGTACAACCTCCTCTAATAACCTTCACCATTATATATTTAGCTCAAAAGGAATTACCAGGATAAGTTTTGTCTCTAAGAACTGAAAGAAGGTATTCAAGGCAAACAGTTCAGATTTCCTACCAACCTACTCAAAAGAAACGATCCTAAATTTTATAAGCACTTGAATCCTAATGGAAAGAGCACTGGTCTAAGAAAAGTTCTGATTTCTAATAGGACCTCTATTACTTACAATCATGTTGGTGAAACTCTTTAAGCCCTACATACTGGTCTCTAAAATTAGAATAATACTTAACCTGTCTATTTCAGGGGACTATTTGTGAAAATAATATGAAAAAATATAGTAAACATACATTTAAAACTATAAAATGTTATACAACTAGAACTGAATTGAAATTTTCAGTATTACATTTTCAGTAGGCCTCATAACATGAACTGTAGTCCAAGCTTAAAGAGAACTATAAATTCAAACATGATTACTCATCACATAGATGCTCCCCTATTACCACACTGTTTGAAGAAAAAGAAAATAATTAGGGCCTCTAGTAATTACTTCAAAAACAGAAATTCTTTACAAAGTCATTTTTTGGAGACAGTACCAAGCAAGGACTAAAGAAAGAGGAAAAAAACAGAAGGAAAGAAAAGAAACTGAATAATACCCTAAACTTGTCATCTCAAAGACAACTTATTTCTTGTAATTCAGGGTCAAAGTATCCTTGAAATGACTGATTTAGAGTATGAAAATTATTTCCCAAATTCTTAATTCTCTAATATGCAAACTTATGTAATGAAGAACTCAGTGTTGCACAAAGGCCTTGGGAAAACATCTTCTTCTCACAATTTATCCAGAAATACTGAGAATAAATGAAATGATAAAGTATATTCGAAGGTAAAAAAAATCTCCTTGCCTTTCTAGAAACCCCACACTAAAGATTACTTAGTTCTGGTTCCTTATTTCTTTTTTAATGGTTCCATTTTTCTATGTTAATGTGCTTTAAGTCTCACTGGGACCAAATACAAAGTCATTTTTATGCAGTTAGCTAAACACACTAGAAATAAATCTGTTTACGTAGCTTTAGTTAATGTAACGGTGAATTTATTTTACCAATGCTGATAATGCCACCGAAGTGTTGTTATTATACTATACTGACCATTACGTTGTAGAAGGCAGCTGTACAATCATAAATGAGTGACAGTTAATCAACTAAAGGCACGGATGACATTTACTTTCTATTACTTATTACATTCGGCAGGGGGTGGGGGGGTACTTAGTCTTGCATTTAAAATTGAAAAAATATTTCAACTTGGTAGATTATATTGTGACAGGCAATTATTCAGCCAGATACATTTTTTTAAAACTGTTTAAGACAAGTACTATCTAGGAAAGACATTTATAATTTACATGACAAAGATTAAGCAACAGACTAACGTGTATAAATAAGATATAACTAAAATCCACTTTAACAGCATATTGGAATTTTTATGGGAGACTTTTTCTTATAACAGTCTAAGAATGTAAATTTGATCAAAGAAAGCAAAACATTTATCATATTCAGTGTAAACAGTGCCTTTATCCATTCAATAAAAGATCAGTAAACAAAAATTTGACCACGTTAAACATTTTTATTGCTAAAGTGAAATTTTCACCGTATTTTTTCTAATGAATATAAAGTGACTAAAGTTACTCCTTCTGAGTAAACTATATACAATTGGCATTCTCAATTCAGATAGCTGCAAGTTTTACAATTTACTTCAAAATAATCTTACTGGTTCTTAACTCTTGTCTATCCTAACCTATCCAATAAATATAGCTCATACCCAGTGGATTAATTCTCAGATGGGCTATTCACACTGGGGGATGGGGACCTGTATCAGAACTGGGATGGAAGAGTATATTTTACAAAGCCTTCTAGGAGAATAAAGCTAAATAATTCCCTCTTCTTCCAGCAGTCTATGTAGGTGACTGAGGAGGAAAAGGAAAAAAGCAATGTTTAATTTTTTTCCCTTCATAGGTTCTTCATAATTTAGTAAAAAGGAGCAAGAAAAGTTGGCATAGATCCCCCCAGGTTAGGCAAGGGATTAAGGTACCTGAAAGTAAGTAATATAACTACTATATCCCTGTGGATACACAGGGCTAAGGTGGCATAGCACAGTGGTTAGAGAGACAGACTTGAGCCACACTACAGGACAGCCTGGGTTCAAATCTAAGCTCTAGCATTAATAAGCTGTGTGAGTATGTTAATCACTCTGTGCATCAATTTTCTCCTCAGTGAAATAAAAATAATAGTATCTAGTGTATTTTATATTACATGTGTTAATATGGTAAAGAACTTAAACTAGTGCCTACTACGTGTTAGGCAGTATTCTAAGTTTTGATTAAAGAAATAAATAAACTAGAAACCAGAATGGAGTGTGAAAGGTGAAAGTAATGGACAAGCAATATGGAATCAGGTTAGTAGCTTCAATAGAGGAAAACAAAGAATGTGGCTGAGAAGAAAGTGGGTGCCTTGGGGACAAGGACCAAGTGGGGTAAGAGAGGAAAGGGAACACACTATCAGGGCTGTCCGCAGCTACCCATGTGTCGGGTGGAATTTCAAGCACAGTCAGGGAGTGAATCCTAGAATGGTGAGGGCCAACTGCTGCTAGTTGTCACAAGCCAGGACACAACGATAAAAGTTAAAGGTCAAGGGTACTTAAATAGCTTTGTTAATAGCTAAATAGAGCATTCATTAGCAAATGTTTATATTTCACTATTTGTTAAGACAAATACACATATACAAATAACTTTTAAAAATCAGAATTTCTTAATAATCTTTATATTTCATTTAATTATCTTAAAATCAATATTTTTATGAAAATTTATTGGAAAAGTATAGAGAAAACTGCAACAATGAGCACTTGACAGGTAACATTGTATTATTCAGCTGCTGTGGAAATAAATACAATCGGGGACTAAACCTGTTGTAAACTATAAACAAAAAGTAAAGTGGAGATCAGAAGGTATATCTAAACTTTGCTTTTATTTCTATATTCCCCAAAGCACCTACCACATAGCAGTTTTTCTTTACAAACCACATATCTGAAACACTTAGTATCAGAAAGGGATGATAATCTTAAGCATTAAACCTCTGCTTAGTAAAAATTCCTGAATTCTATATAATGGTAGACAGAATTTAAAAAGTGAGATACTGGGATATTTCCAAATAAAGACCTGTTCTTCACACACAACGGGAGAAGTCACCAGGTGGAAGATGGAGTCCCCAGAAATGCAAATTAAATTTACAAGACCACTAGTGTTGCCTGCATAAACCCCAAAGAGGATCTCTTTTTAAAAGATAAACTCAAATAACAAGATATCAAAGCATCTTTCTGCTGAAACACAAAATCTCGGTATTTGTCAAAACATTATTTTAGTAAATGGTAGTTTCTGAAGCACAAAAATTAAGCCTTCTAGATGTTTTACTGGAATTTTATTAAATACCCATGTTCTCTATTTTCCTGGAGATTTTTATTCTGTTTTCTCACTTAATTTGAATTATCAAGCCAAAAGAGTTCTCTCTGCTGTAATTACCTTCTCAGTCCCAAATAGACACTAACAACTTTTGCAAAGACTGGAGGCTAATAGAAACAGTTTTCCTCTTCTTGTCTAAGAAAAATCCAGACCAATTTTCATATAATCACTTGTAAGAGCTGTCCTTCTGAGAAACTACCTAAAGTAAACAAGTTATGTCCTCAGCTACTTCGGAAATTAGTATTATTGTAGAACAGGAATATTCCATCTAGTTGACTAAAGGAAAGCAGAAACCTCCAAAGCAGCCACAACCAACCTGTCACAGGCATTTTAAGGAAAACGTGAGGAAAGGCCTAAGTGGTAGAAATATCACTCTCAGAAGAGTTCGCTGGCATCTATCCCTTTCTCTTCCCTTCCTGTTCCTACTTACCTTCTCCAGGAATCTGTCCTCACATTCAATCTCTATATTAGAAGCCTCCCAACTCCCTTATCCCAACTGAGCCATCACAGTCACACACACACAAACACATACACCCTCCTCCCAACATGGGATCTCAAGAAAGTGGGGAAATTAAAGGTATTATATTCACTCAAAAAGATAAGGTCTACTACAGTAGACTTTCTCACCAAGAACTGCATAGTAGATTCAGTGGATCAAATCCAGCAAGCAGAAGAGATGGCAACCATTCCTTATATTTTGTCTGTGCTTTAATTGCATGATTTATAAATTCGGATATATGTTTCCACGGTGTCAACGGACAACCTTTCTTCAAAAAGTAGCGAAATACTGAAAATTTTTCATACTTCAGGCAGTATGCCAAATGAAGTTCATTTAACTGGGCTCCATATTTCAAAAGAATATTCACAATTCCTAAGAATTCACAGCTCCACCACAAAAGAAAAAAAAAGAAAGAAGTTAGACTTTTACATTAAAAAAAACAATTGTTACAAATAATAGTAGTTACAGCTGGAAAATAAGAACAGCAGATGAGATAGTGGATGGTTTTTACATGTCTACTGGATTTAAGACTAGGGGTTTAGGGAAAAGTGACAGTTTTACTTTTTAATATATAACTGCCTGCATGGTTTTTCATTTTCAACTATGCACAGATAGCTCTTAGAATTCTAAACTTTCACCTTAAATAATTTTTTAAATTATCAATGACAAACAGAAAACTCTTCTCAGATTGATCTCTTTATACAATTAAGTACCTCTACTACAAAATACTTGCTAAACAAAGTTATTAAACAATGTGCTTTGTCCCTAAAGACAAAAGACTCATTCTAGGAATCACTAAAATGCCATTTTGTTTAGCAATAACCTTAGTCAATTTCCCCTTTACTTTCGAATTTCTAATGGTTAAAAAATATATATATATAGAAAAGCCTTTTTTAATGAACAAAAATTTAACTTATAGCTTTATATTTATAAGTTAATCTTCTTTATCTAGCACTTTTACAGAACAAAAGTATATCATTTTGTACCTATTACACTGGTTACTTTTTTTACAAAAGAAATTATCCAATACTCATAAATTGTGGTTAATTGATTGAAAATAAGTGTAACCCTTTTTTGGGAGAGCTAACTGGCAAGATGTATCGAAAGAAGTATCACAGCAAAGCTATACTAGCACAAATTCTGGACCCAGCCTGCTCAGCCACCTACTAGCTATGTGACTCAGAACAAGTTACTTAACCTTTCCTAATCTTATATAGAACCAGCACTATATAAATATTTGTAAAATAAATGTTATGTAAAATAAAATACCATATAAATTAAAATAAAATATAATGAACATAAATCTTGGGACTTTATCCAGGAGATATACTGTTTTTTTAAATTATATCCTATTTGCACAAATACATTAAGCAGAGTATTATCTATAACAGCTTTAAAAAGAAATTACCTAAATGTTCTACAATAGAGGAGCAAATTTAGTACAAAATATGATACGGTCATCAAAAACTGCAATTATAATGGTTGTGTGACCACATTTTAAAAACTTTATAATTTTAACTATAACAAAGCTCAGTAAACATAATGTTCACTATGTAGACAACTATGAAAGGCATATGAAAGAATAAAATTATTCTCCCTTTGAAACTGGCATTAATGCTATTTTAAACAACTACAAATAAAAAAGAAATATTTCATTAATCATAGTACTATAGAATCTAAATAAGTAAGAGGCATTATAGATAAAATGTTTAAACCATTGTCATGTGAGACCAACTACTTCTGAGGACCTATGTACAGAAGTTGAAATGGAGATTTTAAAGCAGTTAAATCACTATATAGATTAGTAAAATATCATCTGACCCATGTATATTTTTATAAATCTATTTCATTTATTCTCTAATTTGTGCTTCTTTTCTTTAGTTAAAGATTAAACAGTATTCTTTTTACTTTTATATTATTTGCACAGCAATTAGAAAAGGAAATCTATAATTATAAAATTTCTTTATAAAAATCAATAACTGTTGTTTGTCTACTATCTTGCTAATTGTTCCTGATAGGAAGTCCATCATTCATATCATTGTTCTTGAAAACAGCCCTGTATGTTTGCATTTTTTTCCTTTTACTGTTTTAAGACAAAGGAAAGTTGCGAGGACTTGTTACTAGCAGTCTGGCACTACAAGAAATGTTAAAGGACATACTTCCGACTGATGGTTCTAGTTATCACCAACTTATTTCAACCACTTTGACCTCATTTCACTGGCTCTCATTATTTTGCCTGTAGTTATTACTTCCTGATTCCACTACAGACCAGACAAGCTACATATGGGCTGCTGAACGTCTTCTAAAAATTATGCAGGTAAACTGCGAGTAATACTCAAGACATTGCCTCATTACAAATGTGACACATAATTCCCAAAAAGCTTGGCAATTTTCAGGGCACATGTGTTTACATGTGTAATTCAAGGACTGATTAAATTCTTCCCTCTGAAACCATTTTTAGTGCTCTGAAACCATCAATAGCCTAACCATAGATACTTGAGCTCTTAATGATTTAGCTCCTAAAGAGGACATACTTTTGCTCCAGAGTACAAAGATAAATGTGAGCCTTAAATGCACCCTATTAGATTAAGTGCTACAGATTTTGTTTAGAAAAAATTACGAAACCAAGAGGATTTCTTATTAAAATTTCAACATAGCACCTAAACATGTGGCTCGTGCTAAGAAAATTTAAGAACAAGGCCAAAAGATAAACCAATCCATCTCTAAAAGATGAGAGGAACATGTGCACACATTCCTTATAACAAACCTTATTGAGTATTCTGTACCAGATACTATGTTAAATGTTTCACATGGAAGATGCACCTTAATCCTCACAACTAAGAATTAGTCACAAAGCTAGGAACTGGTAAAACTGGTATAATAATATTAAACCAAAATCTAACAGTGACTATGATACTGCTAAATGTTTCCCAAAGTATGGTGTATGAAATACTAGTCCCTGAAAATGATCCATATGAAAAAGGCTCCGTAATGAAAATATCTGAAGAACCCTATAGTATACAGTGAGTCCAGAAAAGGGAGAAATATAGAATAAACTTATTTTTAAACAGTATGCTAGTTACAGTTTCCAATTATAGGCTTAAATGTTTTTCTTCAACTTCCAGAAATATTTCAGAAGCAGCAGTTTTAAAATTAAAGCAAAGGATCCAATCAATAATCTGAAAAAAGCATAATAAAGAGTATGAAATGCCCCAAAACTTTATGAACACAAAAAAGTATTCTATTTATTATTGTAAAATAAGTTCATCTTATGTTTCCAAACTTCTCAGACTTTTGTAGATTCATTGCCCTCTTAGAAATTCACAAACCACCACCATGAGAAAAATTCTTAGAAGCCTTTGAAGAAAGAAACCTATTTAATATTGCTTAACCCTATGTTTCTCAAACTTAACTATTTTATCCCATGTAATATCTATTAACATTCTACAGAATTAATATTCTACAAAAACACATTTTGGAAAACCCAGCTCTAAACTTCTTCCAATTATCACATTGCCTTGTGTTAAAAGAGACAAAAACACACTCCTAAAAGACTGATAAAACCTGCTAGTGCTACATTATAGACCCTTTTCCAACAAAACTATCTATTATGTGGCAAAAAATAAACATATAACAAACTGGAGAATCATAAAACTTTGTCAGTATACCCTGAGCCATTCTGGGAAGGCAATTAAGAAGGTCTCAAATATATGTGTAAGCTCCAGAAACACAAGCATCTTCAGCACGCTATTGTGACCTTGATTATTATATGTCATTGAGCAACAGAAGATCTTCGGGCTTAGACAACCTTTGGTTAAAAGATAAATTACATGAACACACATATGAATTGTTCTTAAGACTTAAGCAAATTCTCTCTCAAGCACTGATGAAGAATCAGAAGAACTCTTCAAGTCCTGGAGATTAAAAAGAAATATTCCATCCTATTTAATCCCTGCAGGATATTAAGACCTGTCCAAAACATCCACAGAGATATTTGGTCCTTGATATTTAGTCCTAGACTAAACTGTCTAAAAAAAACATCTGCTCCATGCCAAAAGGTCCTTGATATTTGGTGCTGTACTGAAAGGTCCAAAGAGACATTTGGTCCACACCCACACATCCATCTCATCTCATGTGCCATTAGCAGCTAAGCTACCAAGGCAAGAAGGGTAGTTATTAATAATACAGCCACAACACAATTACTGGATTAATAAAACATGACAGTTTTTTTATGTATGAATCTTGTAAACCAAGTATATAAATAAACTTTATGGGTTTTCTGACTCAGGGATGTTTTCTAAGCATGGACATTTTGGACAGGACCAAATATCAAGGACCTTTTGGGATGAACCAAATGTCTCAGTAGACATTTTGTACAGGACCAAACGTCCACTAATCTATTTAACATAAATATCAAGAAATAATTGTGACACATTAAGAAACTGCTCATTAGATAAACAGTTGAAATCATCAGATACTAAGAAAGAGGAGAGGTTTAAAACCTAAAAAAGCAATGTCTACACCTTATCTTTGGGCTTGTACATTTTCCATCATTCTGCTCTTTGAAATTCAAAATTGTGCACAGGAACAGTGCCTAGATTAAAAAAAAGCACTGTAAAAGGAAATTTGACATGTCAACAAGATTTATTTTAAACAAATAGAAATGGGCAAACATCCTGAGCAATTTGTGTTCAATTAGCCAACTAAATATCTAACCAACTTATTAGTTAAATTATCAAAGTAAGTTTTATTGAATGGCTTTCAGCCATTAGCTGAAAATAAAATGAAGACAGTAGATCTTATTGGATGTACCCATGTGTGATGACAAGGACAACTTCTACAAACTAATATGGTAACAATAATCAATATCAATTCAAAAGACAGACCAAATCAGATCAGTTGAGCCATGATCGCTTATATTTGTTCAAATTGTTCTGAAATTTCTCAACTTCTCTCCTCTTTCATTTTTCAGTTAAAGGAGTCTTTTTCTCATCTTTTCGCATTTAAGTTGAATTACTCAACTGTGCCCTTGAAAGACTGGCTTTCATGTTACCATAGCTATTAACTTTTTAGCCCCAAAGGACAAAGACTGTTTTGTACAGTGGTGGAGGAGCCACCGTTCCATCATGCCTTGGAGTGGTGAGAAGGGCTAAAGGTCACTGCTTCAAATGGAAGCTCATCCTCTCAAAGGGATACCCAGAAAAATGTTTTAGAATGCTAATCCTGAGCTAAAAAGTTAAACTGGCTGAATAAAACAATAAAGAAGAGAAAGCTTAAAACTCAGATCCATTATTTATATTTATTATTTTCATCACCTTTGATATTAATTATACTATTTGTAAAAGCAAATAAAAGTTTACTAAACACAACAGGCCAACAGTGCAAGGAAGGACACAAATACCAAATTCTAGATGTCAGAGAAATATCAGAAAATATACAAATGAGAAAATAAGTTTTTAATTCATTAACATCTAAAGACATAAAAATGTTGATTAAATCTTTTTATATAATCTTACACCAAATGAACATTACTGTAACAACACTTTGTTGCTATAAAAATTAACTTTCAAGACTTATATCACTAAACTTATCTTATTATCTATTATCAAATCTCTCCAAATTTGATATCTAATCATTAATTTTGGAAAATGGAGTCTTCCAGTGTCCCTAGTACTATTATTGTGACCAAAATGAAAATTCTTATTATTTATTGGTAAATGGAATATAGGAAATCCATACATTGTTTCATTAAGGAGCAAGTGAACATGATAATTATTTTAAATGAAAATTATATTAAATTATCCTTGCTTTTTAAATGAGAATTCTAGTTAATTTAATTTTTAGGTACATGACTGTAGAGAATCCAAATTTTAAGATGCACACTGATTGAAAGAAATAACAAAAAATTAACAAATTTTTCCATTTTAATTTTTTCCCCCAGATAACTGGCTACATTACCTTCTTAACATACTAACACAAAACGTACTGGGAGAATGAGTTTTCTTGCTTAATCAGCAAAGTTTTATACAGAGTTCCAAAATACTCAAACAATATTCACATCACACATACAGTGACTGACATGTGAATTAACAGCTAATATAAATGTACCTCAGTTAATATAAACGTACAGTACAGGTACTAAAATTTTAATTTATGTTAATTTCTAGATAAATGGAGGATAATAGGAGAGATTTTTGAAATTTTTCTACTATGTGCCAAAAACAGTGCTATGTACTAGACTTAAATCAACTCCTTTATATACACACATTAAATACGAGCATATATGAGTATAATAACTACTATCTTTTAGATTTAGCCCTTGGGAAAGGTTTCCTCTTCAATTAAATTCCTCACAAAGTAGGTGATAATGGCAGAGATGTATAAAAATTAAGTCTATTGCCAAGGGTCCCAGGCAAACAAATGAAAAGTCAATTAGAAAGACTAGGAGAAGTAACTTCCTGAAACATTTTGATGT